CACACACACACACACACACACACACACACACACACACACACTCCCACTTTAGATTCTGAGAAAGTAAATTTGGTCAAACTGACTGAACAGTGTTTGAGTGGTTGAAGACGTCTGGGTGAGCCAGATGAACAACACACCTGCCTGAAAGAGAAAAGCGTGCGGTCTGTTGTACTTTCACCCAGATAAAGCAGAACTGTCATAACCAACAGGAAGCCAGCAGCACTGAAGCACACTCACTGTGAATATTACAAACTAAACTCAACCTCACAGCTTGCTGTAGCAAACAGAGGCTAAAGAACATATCTTTACTGCACCTCAGCATGAATATTTTGTTTCTGAATGCACGTCACTGTTACTCTATTGTTACTTAAGATTTGTTCCAATTTAGTTTTGATTTATTTTAGTAACAAATCTACAAATGAGAGAAAGTGAAAGTATCACCTCATAACATGCTGGGATTTTCCCAATAGCTCTTTTTTTTTACTATTACATTGTGGTTTATGTTCTCTGTAGGGCTCATTTTAATTTTCTGTGCATATAAAAACAATCTGTACAGAGTTATTGTTATTATGAGGAAAAAAAATGACAATATGTGGGAGAAATAAAACAAGAGAGTGAAATCCATACACGTGGAAAGGGTGGTGTGTCATATTTGACACTGCCTTAGCTGTCGTTTCTAGGAATGAATCAAATGTGGCCGTTACTACAGTTGGTAGGATGAAGAATGTCACATGGTCCATTTCCTCTCTCTGGCACTGTAACGAGCTCAAACCCCATTTCCTTACCAGCCTTCCTTGCTCACAACTGACATCTGCACCTCCATCTTCAACCGACACTCAGACCAGCCCACCTGCCTCGTCTGCCTGTGTGCGCAGGCTGGTAAGCTTTATCTAAATTATACAACTTTTACAACATCATTATTTATGATTTAAAGTGAAAATATCATCCAAGTGGTACAAGATGTTAAAAGTTGTTCATGTTTTAAATTAAAAAAATTAAACAGCCTACTTCACCAGTAAACATAATAAAAGTAGTAATTTTTATCTATATGCTCACTTATAAGTGAAAACTGAAGAAAAGCTCTAAATAAACTGCCTTTTTAAATCAAATGATTAACACAAAAACACAAACACGACACCATAGAGGTTTAAATTATACAACTTTATTAGAATTAAAGTGAGAAATTGTGTCAAATATTTGTCGTATGAATGTGACATCACTATCCTAATATATTACAAAAATGTGTATTTCACACTATATTACACAGCTGGTGTTTAATGAAGAGCTGAAATAATAAAAACAAAACTTTTTCAACTCGTTGTCGATGTGGTAATGTGGTAATCACTCGTAGTACTTTCTGTTGTTTAAGAAATCATGAAGGTTAGGATGGCTTAATTTTACATTTCTGCTTTTGTTTGGTTTTGGGTGATTTTCTCCGCACTGTGCCGACCACATGCAAAACAAACTGATAGTTTTGATTTCACCTGGTCTGATATTGTGCGTTTTTTTTTAAAGACTTAAGAATATATATATATATATTTTTTGTTCACAGTTTAAAATCTATTTCATTCACAGCTGCACATTTTGTTTTGCTCTCTGATGTTGCACCTGCACATTGCGTACCCTGTTAGCATTCACCACAAACCAGGCGTCATGTTCCTGTGCAGAAACTGCCCCAAAAACAAACGCTTTGTACACACATAGAGCAGCACAGGTGAGCAGAGTCCAGGACGAGTACAGTGTCAGTTTCACACCTTCACATCAGAAGTTACACAATGAAACCTGATTTTTTTTTCTTGTGGCTTTGGATGTTTTTCTGCTGATTTATACAGACATTACGAAACAATTGGGCAACATCCCTTAAAAAGATTTCAAAGTCATTGCTTTGTGTATGACTGAATGCTGTTGAAAACAATCTTCCATAAATTGGAGTAAATTTGTGTGGAACTCTGTCGTGCAGGTGATGGGAGAGTATTCTCATCAAGTCATGGCGGGGAACTCCAGCAGGACCCAGCTCGACAATGCCACGTTGTTGCTGTTTCAGAATGTGCACACCAGTGTTGCCATTTCTGTTATCTACATGTTCGTAACAGTCATCAACCTGGCAGGAAACGGCCTGTCAGTATGGCTCCTCCTCTTTCGTACCTCCCCCAAGACTCCCTCCATAATCTTCATGATTAACCTCACCATCACCGACTTGGCTCTTGGCACCGCCCTGCCCTTTCAGATCTCCTACCAGCTCCATGGGTACAACTGGACTCTGGGATCCAAGATGTGCAGGTAATCAGGACGCATGGAGCGACTCAAAGGCTCCTTACTTCACAGGCACACTTCACTCTGGACACATTTTTCTTTATTCTTCATTAAACGTGGATGTAAAGGAAACAGCAAATTATGAAATAAATAACTGGTAGATGTACTTTGTACACTAATTTTAATCTTCCTATTTGACTATAAACCTCTCAAAGAAAACATTGACCTCAGAAATTAAATTATTTTTGCTCTTACTGCCCAATCAAATCACAACTAGTTATGTGTTGTTGGTTTGTTCTAACTATAACCACCAAGATGATTAATTTATTGGCTTTGGATTAAACTTTTTGATTTTTTTTTTTTTTTTTTACTTAAATGCTTTCCAGACCTTTTAAAGCACGCATTGAAACGTTTCAAACAAATTAATCTGGCATAAACAAATTGACCAGTCTACTAAAACTCCTAACCTTAAGCCTTAAAACCAAACCCACTTCCTACTTAGGGGCCTGAGGTGGTGTAGGGCAGGGGTCTGCAACCTGCGGCTCTGGAGCCACATGCGGCTTTTTCCAGCGGCTCTTTCAAGCTTTGACCAAGACTGGCATAAAACTGAATTTTATTGGTTGTCATACAAACAACAAAAAAGTACTAGCTTTAGCTGTTTTCCTGTAATCCATCCATCCATCCATCCATTATCTTTACCCGTTTATTCCATTTTGGGTCACGGGGGTCGCTGGTGCCCATGTCCAGCAATCACTGTGCGAGGGGCGGGGTACACCCTGGACGGGTCGCAAGTCCATCACAGGGCCACATAGACACAAAGGAGACAAACAACCATTCACTCTCTCACTCACACCTAGGGACAATTTAGAGTTACCAATCAGCCTAACATGCATGTTTTTGGTCTGTGGGAGGAAACCGGAGTACCCGGAGAAAACCCACGCATGCACGGAAAGAACATGCAAACTCCACCCAGAAAGGCCCCTGGACCGGGGTTTGAACCAAGGACCTGCTCGCTGAGAGGCAGCAGCTCTACCAGTTGCGCCACTGTGCTGCCGTTTTCCTGTAATTTCTTTTGCAAATATGTGAACACTGGAGCAAGTACAAGGAGTAAAACTTTATCTTCATGCTTTATTTCTTTATATGAAGAACTGACTGCATAGTTTATAGATTTATTAATTAAAAACAGATGGTAAAAACTGAAAAATGTCCAACTTTACAAGAATCTGGTCTTTTACCTTAATAAATGTTAAAATCATTGGATTTTTTTTCTTTAAAATGTCACGCTTACTGGCCACAAAAACTGCCTCCAGCAAACCTAAAGTGGCCCATGGGCCACCAGTTAAAGCAAGGTGTTGTAGCTCCGGACACGTTTAATGTAGTGAACTAAGGTGAAAAATGGCTCTTTTGATCGTAAAGGTTGCAGACCCCTGGTGTAGAGGTAGGGCAGCTTGGGACCAGAGAGTCACAGGTTCAACTCCCCACCATGCCCACATGTTATGGTGTCCTTGAGCAAAACACCTAATCCCTAACTGCTCCCCGGGCATTTACATAGCTGCCCACCTGGACCTGCACCTGGGTGTATCTCACGTGTGATGGGTTAAATGCAGACAACTAATTTCACATAACACTTATTTCCTAATCATAACATGATTAACCTTCAACTCAACCTTATTAGCTAAAAACACACATTGATTCTTTATTGGCCATGTCCTTGAGTGAGGGTGTGCAAATGGCCAAAACACCTGAAAACCTGAGTTCTACTGACACTAACAACAAACCTAATGAGACTTTGATCACTAAATAAGTGTAATATTTTAACAATCTTCACATTTTCAGTGGTAAATGGGCTGTATTTATATGGCACCTTTCTATCTGATAAAGATACTCAAAGTACTTTATCCTACAATCTGTGCCTGCATTTACCTCCAACACACACATTCATACAGCACTCTACATCTCTACAAAGATAATCTGAATCTGTAAAGAGTAATCTTTATCACATTCATACACCGATGGGACACACATCGGAGGCAATGGGTATGTTTACATGGACAAAAGTAACCGGATCAGATGGCCGGTCGGAACAAAAGTGTGTCATGTAAACGCTCCGTTCGGGTTATTTTTTGTGTATTCGGCGCGATCCGTTATAATTTGTGATCAGATCGAAACGGGTGGTTTACGCCGATCCGTGGCCCGATCGGTGCGCATGTAAACACTTGATCTGTTCGTTTTTATCTGATGGTGAAAAACATAAAACATACAAAAACATAAAAATTATACATTCAAAAAGTTTGTGCAAAACAGACAATGTGCACAGATCATCACATCTTGTAATGAAAACAGAAAAAAACATTCTTTGGTCATTTAAAACTACAGTAACGTGCAATTCAACAGTAACTTCTTTATCAACTCATCCTGTACTTTCAGAATTACAATATCAAAAAATATCTATATATATATATAATATGAAACTTTAGCTGCTGCTCAAATAACAAACTTTTTTTTAACTTTAGTTTAGGTCATGGAGGTGGTAATCCGAGTTGTAGCTTGGGTTCTGAGGAAATTGAGCAGACTGGCTTTGACCTGGGTATTGATGCTGAGGGGTAGGGAGGAACTGGAGATCTTCCCTGTGGAGGTGGGGTCATTTGAGTCATGATGGACTTTAATCCATCAAAACATTGCCTCACTAGGCGCTCAGTTGAGAGTGTGTTTTCTTCTAAGAACCTTACAAACAACCTTTCTTCTCTTTGCTGCCATCGTTCCTGTTGTTCTTCTATCCATTTGTTCTGGGACTCTTGCATCTTCTGGTAGAAGGATTGCTGTTCGGTGGCCCAAGTCTGCATAACCAGAGTTCCCTCGTGGTCCTGCAATGATGTAAAACACTATTACTTGCTTGGATGCAGTACTAACATAATCTCTCTAAACACTGTATAAACATTTGTTACTGTTTTTGTCATCTGGAACACACAACTTACTCTTCCTTGATGTCCTCGTCTGTTGAAAGTTTCTTGGACTGTTGTTTGTTGTGTGCTGCTGCCAGCTGCTTCATCAAAGCTGGACTCATCATCTGAAAAAGAAAAAAATAAAGTCTAACTGGTCCCCTGGTATGTTGAAATTTGTTAGGTTAATTATCTGGTTAGTTGGGGTAGTGTTATAATCCACAATATAGGTCTCATGTTCTCTACTGTGTACAATCCTTGGAGGTATAATTATGCTAGCCCTAAAGCTACTCTTGCTTCTTATTATAATTACATTTTAACATATTTGTTGTATCCCAATTACACCAAGTAATACAGTACAGAGGGTTAATGTGGCTTGAAGAGTATCTTACCGGAAAGGATGCTTTGTTCCGGATTTGCATCGGGGCTGTAGTCCTCAGATTCCTCCTCATAACCTTGGTCCACACCGCTGCCTGTCGTGTTGGCCAGTGGCCGCTCTCTCATCAGTTCGTCCATCAACATGTAAAATGAAAAAGTGGTGGGGTCGGAGCCACTTCTTCCGTTCTTGTTCTTAGCTTGGTAGTACTTAGCTTTCAAGCTCTTCCAGCGATTTTTTATTTGCTCAATTGTTCGATGGATTCCGGCTTCTTCCAGTTTTTCATGCACTTGTTTAAATAACTCCGTGTTCCTACACTTTCGACCATCAAGGCGTTCGATAATTTTGAGTTCTTTTAACGTTTCGATTAGAAATGTTGTATCGCTCACCGACCAGTTCTGCTTCCCCGCCATGTTAGCATCTACACATTAGCCAGGCGGAAAAGGAAACGCGTAGAGGTACGCGCCGCACATGCGCAGTCAGGTCATTTTTTTCACCATCAGATAAAAACGAACAGATCAAGTGTTTACATGCGCACCGATCGGGCCACGGATCGGCGTAAACCACCCGTTTCGATCTGATCACAAATTATAACGGATCGCGCCGAATACACAAAAAATAACCCGAACGGAGCGTTTACATGACACACTTTTGTTCCGACCGGCCATCTGATCCGGTTACTTTTGTCCATGTAAACATACCCATTGAGTCAATGGACAGGGTGAGCCATCGAGATAAGAAAACTACACCTAACCATGATTGAAGATTGACGTTTAAGATGAGATGACGTTATGTACACTATGATCTTCTTCTGCTCCACAACAACAACACACAAATTTCAGATAACTGTGTTGCACTTTATGTTGCCACAAAGACCCTATTAATGTTGCTTGAATAGTTACAAACACACTTGTTTCATTGTCATCAACTTCAGTTTCTGCAGCAGTTCTGAGAACATTTTCGAATTTTGTTTTCAGTAGTTTTTATTTAGATTAGTTATGACTTGAATCTCACACTCCTTCTTGAAGTTATGACTTGAATCACTGTTTTTTGCTTGTAGTTGTTTGTTTTGACCTATATTCAAATTTTGGGGGCTTTACATCACAGTTCAGCTCACAGTGCTTAATTAGCTCGTGATTTATCCTGTAAATGGTATTACTAAATTTTTTTTTGAGTATCACTTGAATGGATTCTAACTGCAACCAGTTCTATTTGTATATAGTATGAAAACCAATCACAGTGCCAAGCTAACTGACCTCTTTTTTCATTCATTCAACCTTTATTTAAACAGATAAGTCACACTGAGCCTCGAAGACTCATTTACAAGTGAGACCTGTTTGGACAGACAAGAAGTGGTGAAAAATGACACATAGGGTTTGGAGATAATAATAAAAAAAATCCTAACATGCTTTTAACCTCTGGCTGAAGGTCAACAGTGCGATAATGAAAAAAAATCTCGCACATAATGTCGCTGACATTACGCGGGGGGAGGGGGGGCACAAGGGCGGTGAGCAGTCAGAGACGACACACAGAGGCACTGCAGAGTTCAACTAAAATCACTCAGTTCAAACAGTTCCCTCTGGAGAGATCCGTGCACACTCGGGGGGTGTCGAGGATGACCAGAAATGAATCCAGAGTCCTGAAATGATGACAGAATGTTTATTCAGCTGGGCCCCTCTGAAAAGTCCATGGCAATTCCTCAGTAGGAGGAGAGGGAGGGGCTGAGCATCAGGTTTACAAAACTGTCCAGGTGGGTTGAGATAAGATGACCTGTCAAGGCCAGTCAGGGAGCCAAATTCATATAAACAGGATTGTTGTTGGGACAGGCAGAACTTTAATGACATCTACCTTGAGTCTGTGTCGGTCCATTCAGATTTGAAACGTCTAAATTAAATAATCATACCAATGGAACGTGCCTGAGAATAATCCCAGAGATCTAATCCATTCTGCCAAGAGTCTGGGTGCTCAAGGCACGAACCAAGTCATCATATAAGGCAGGCAGCCTGACCAGGTCCAGATTTGCTGCCAACGACTTCCTTGTTTGTTGATAGACCAGGACCCAGCCAAATCCAAAAAGCAGGAAACAGTTATCATAAATTCAATTATAAATGTGTCCTTAAAATCCACAGATGACAGCAGAGACAGACACGTCATCAATTCTTCTAAGTCAGTGAGATCTCATGCTGTGTGCGTGCCAACAGGGCAAATTGGTTCACCTAAAACCTGTCTTCTCTTCAAAGAAATGTTATCAATTGTGTTGAGGGACCAACTGACAAAATCCAAGTCCACAGTTATGATTCGGAAGATTTGTAGAAGAGAGGCTCTAAAGCAGTTTCACAGACAGGACAGAGCAAAAGCAAAGCAGAGAGGGAGAGGAGGAGACGTCCGCCCTTGAGAAGAGCAAGTGTTGAATGACCTCTGAAAGTAATATCAAATATCTAAAATCTAATTAAGTCTTATTAACTTTTTGAACATGTCAGACTTTTTCCAGATTGTGCTTCAACCATTATTAAACACAGTTTATCACTTGTGTTTATCTTCTTACAGTTTCCTGACCCTGGTTTTCTACACGAACATGTACTGCTCCATCCTGACCATGATGGCCATTGGAATCGATCGCTACCTGGGTATCGTCAAGCCCATGGCATTCAGGAAGAACCGGTGGAGCAAGTCTGTTGCGGTCATGAGCTGCTTCTTCATGTGGAGTTTAGTGCTGTCCATTTTGTACCCACTGATGACCACGGACTTGACCTATGACATTCCTAAACTTGGCATCACCACTTGCTTTGACGTGTTGAAGAAAACCATGCTCCCGTCGGTGGCAGCGTGGGCAGCCTTTCTTTTCAGTCTCGTGTTTGTTCTGTTCCTCCTCCCCTTCTGTGTCACAATATTCTGCTATGTTAGCGTCATACACAAGCTGGCCAGTGATTCCAAGACAGCCCAGAAGAAAAGAGCGATACGTCTGGCTGTTGTTGTTCTGCTCGCCTTCATGGTCTGCTTTGCTCCCAACAACATCCTCCTGTTGCTTCACAGTGTGATTAGACTCTTCTATGACAAGTCTTTGTACATGGCTTACAAACTCTCTCTGTGTTTCAGCTGCCTGAATAGCTGTCTGGATCCTTTTATTTACTACTTTGCCTCGAAGGAGTTCAGAATGAAGCTGCGAGAAATAATGAATCTGCAGAGCACAAGTAGTGCAGATTCAATGAAGATGGAAAATAAAGAGACTTTGTACTCTGCTCAATGAGATTTCAAAACTTCCTGCTACCTTTGATACCACAGACAAAAAAAAAATCTTGAAAAGGGAAGCTTCTGTGAGAGACAGCAGTTTTGCTCAGCTCTTGCAACATATTTTCTTCATTAATATTTCAAAATAATTTATATACTTTTCAGTTGAGATACAAAAACAGAAAGATGGACAACAAATCATTATCATCTAAAGTGTATTCTTGCATTTTCTTTCCAACTTTTAACAGTTTTGTTATTTTTTACACACACCAGAATACATTTTTACAGCATAGTATATGTAGTAATATGTAGTATGTATATGTATATATCTTCAGTGAAATAATGTAAATAAAATATGCAAAATGAAACAAATATACTCACACAATGCTAGCTTTTATTACAAGTTTCTTTGATTACTTTTGTATATATGTTTGTAAAAATGTGTGTGTTCTGTAAGCTGTGATATATGAACGTTTCTTGTTGCCCATTTTGTCATAATTAAAGCTTTTTGGATATATTAATGTGTTTTTTCTATGGCAAAAATATATTTGTATTATTATCCATCCATCATCTTTACAGTGGGGCGGCTGTAGCTGAATGGTTAGAGCAGTCATCCTCCAATGCGAGAGTTGGGGGTTCAAATCCACCAGCAGTCACATGTCTAAGTGTCCCTGGTCAAGACACTGAACCCCTCACAGCCTCTGATGTGTGTCCCATCAGTGTATGAATGTGATAAAGCTCTGATTAGTCTCTTTAGAATGATTTGTTCAATTAGCTTTGTAGAGATCTAGTAGAGTGCTGTATGAATGGGTAAATGAGGACACAGATTGTAGTGTAAAGCGCTTTGAGTATCTTAAAATAAGATAGAAAGGCGCTATATAAGTACAATCCATTTACCATTTACATGCTTCTTCCTTTTCGGGTCACGGGGATCACTGGTGTCACTGAGAGAGGCGGGACACCCTGGACAGGTCTCCAGTCTATCACAGGGACACAACCATTCACTCTCTCACTCAAACCTAGAGACAATTTATAGTTACCAGTCAGTCTAACATGCATGTTTATGGTCTGTGGGAGGAAACCAAAATACACAGAGAAAACCCACACTTTCACGGAGAGGACATGCAAACTCCACCCTGGCCTCGGTCCAGGATTTCATCTGGCGACCTTCTCGCTGAGACGCAACAGCTCTACCAACTGAGCCACAATGCCACCATTTATTATTATTTTTATCGTGGTGCAGTATGCATGCTGTCTCTCAGCGAGCAGATTGCCGGTTCAATAAATAAATGACCAAGTATAACATTTTTGTCTCATTTGTTTAACTGGGTTTTCTTTATCTACTTTTAGTAGATACACACACACTGTTGTGTGAAAATCCTAAGATGTTTTAGGTTATAATTATGCAGAAATATAGAAAATTATAGAGTTCACAAACTTTCAAGCACCACTTTATGATGGAAAAAATTAGAATTTAGTTAATGTATTAAATATACTACAAAAGAATCAGGAAGTACAAGTATTCAATTTCTAATTAGGTTCTCCAGGAAAACAAAGTTGATCAATCAGCACATACACAAGATAACATGTCCATGGTTACTTTTTCCTTTTGACTGTCCTTTTGGTTGCCATTTTATCTTGTAAAATAAATAAACAAATGAATAAATTTGTATGTCTCTTTTATGATTGTCTGTTGTTGTCGTTGTTATCCACTGCTGTCATCACGCTTTGTTAAAAACATCAGGTCTCTCTTGTAAATGAGTCCCCGTCGCTCAATGGGACTAACCTGTATAAATTAAGGTTGAATGAATGAAAACATTCACAAGATAACAAATATACATTCTTACCCACACTCCATACCGTTAGGTCGCAGGAATGCGCATCATATGTTGTTCGCCAACAGCCAATAACCCCACGAAGAAGAAAAAGAGCCGCCTTCTTTCCTGACGTCATCACGTTTGTGGAGTTACGTGGGTTGTCCTGTCTCTGTCAGCTTCTCCTGGCTGCTGTAGGTAAGAGATACTGCTGCTAACATATTTGCTATCGTTAAATGCAAACATTTTTCTTAAAACAGATTCTTGTTTACTGAATCAAGTTATTTTCGGGTCAGCTCGCTAACTAAACGTGTCAAACGCGTCATTGATTTGAAGTTTAGTGCAGTTGAGCTGGTGTGCAAGGCGTGCAGAGACTATGTAAATGTCGCGCGTTTACTGCTTTAAAGTACTGCGGTAAATGTAAAACGGGGCTCAGATGTTAAATAATGTTTTTGTAGGTACTTATAAGTTACAGTACTCATTTCTCTTGTTATTGTTGTTGTACAGAAGACACGCCAGTATTGTCACTGGCTGTGATAACAGGCTAATTGATGTCAAACTTTTCTTGATAACCAGTTTATTAAAGTCAACAATAATTGATCAGATGAGTACTTTCAGAGCTAAAAGAGTCTGACTTCTGTGAACAGCTGAAGCCAAGAAGTTCTTTTTTTCTGAGTCTGTGGCGTAAATGAGGCCACATCTGTAATGTTTAACTCTGTTCACCTGCAGGTCAGTTAAACACAAGACCACCATGGTACTGAATCCAGTCATTTCCAAACTTGTTGGTAAACTGGTGGTGCTGGCCAGTGCCTCTCCTAGAAGACAGGAGATACTTCGAAATGTGGTATGTGTTTTCATGTTTAAGCTTATGGATGTACAAGCAGTTCAAAGTAACATGAACATAATTTTTAGATTAAACAAGTTATTATTAGGAGTTCATTATTATGACTTTATTCTGCTGGGGGACTTCAATGCCCACCTGAGTAATGACAGTGTGACCTGGAGGGGCGTGACTGGGAGGAATGGCCTCTGATCTGAACCCGAGTGGTGTTCTGTTGTTGGACTTGTGTTCCAGTCATAGTTTGTCCATCATGAACACCATGTTCGAACATAAGGGTGTCCATAAGTTCACTTGGCACCAGGACGCCCTAAGTGGTAAATCGATGATTGGTTTTGTAGCCATGTCATCTGATTTGTGGCCGTTTGTTTTGGATGCTCGACTGAAGGGCGGAGCTGTCAATTGATCACCGTGAGTTGGGTCAGATGGTGGTGGAAGATGCCGGACAGACCCAGTAGATCCACGCATAGTGAGGGTTTGCCGGGAACACCTGGCAGAAGAACCCGTCAGAAATATTGTAAACTCACATCTCCGGGAGAGCTTTAACCACATCCCAGCTGAGGCGGGGGATACTGAGTCCGAGTGGGCCATGTTCCACACCTCAACAAGCAGTGTGAAAGTTTGATTCACATTGCCGGCAGTAAGTCAGACCTCTTCTGGGTCAGAGTTGGACTCCATCAGTGGCCCGTTCTCACCGATTCTGTTCATAACTTTTATGGACAGAATTTCTTGGTGCAGCGAGGGGGTGGAGGGAGTCTGGTTCGGTGGCCTCAGGATTCCATCTCTGCTCTTCACAGATGATGTGGTCCTGTTGGTGTCATCGTGCCGTGATCTTCAGCTCTCACTGGAGTGGTTCACAAACGAGTGTGAAGCAGCTGGGATGAGAATCAGCACCTCCAAATCCGAGGCCATGGTCCTCATTTGGAAAAGTGTGAATTGTTCTCTTCAGGTCGAGGGTGAGGTTATGCCTCAAGTGGAGGAAGTCAAATATCTTGGGGTTTTGTTCACGAATGAGGGAAGAATAGAGCGTGAGATTGACAGACGGATTGGTGCAGCATCTGCAGTATTGTGGACTCTGTACCGTCTGTTGTGGTGAAGAGAGCTGAGCTGTAAGGTGAAGCTCTCTGTTTACTGCTCAGTCTACGTTCCTACCCTCACCTATGGTCATGAGCTCTGGGTAGTGACTGAAAGAACGAGATTGTGGATACAGGTGGTTGAAATGAGTTTCCTCCGCAGGGTAGCTGGACTCTCCCTTAGAGATAGGGTGAGAAGTTCAGTTATCAGGAGAGACTCGGAGTAGAACCGCTGCTCCTCCACATCGAGAGAAGCCAGTTGAGGTGGTTTGGGCATCTGGTAAGGATGCTTCCTGGGCGCCTCCCAAGGGAAGTTCTTCGGGCATGTACAACTGGGAGGAGACCCCGGGGATGGATGCATTGATTGATTGATTATTATGTGTTTTCCTTCAACATTATCTTGGCGCATAACCGATCAAACACATTAACAGAAATTAATGCACTGGTCCATGCACAGTGAACTCCATACTGGCTCCATGTCAAGGCTTTCTGGACTTTTTTCTTAAATTTATGATGGTTGCACTTACAACTGAAACACAAATAACTGAAGTTTCAAAGTCAGAGTTGACACTGCCAGAAAATTGTATTAACTGATTTATATAAAACGGATATTATTGGAAATGTACAGACAAAATTCAGAATTATTGACGCACATGGACACACTGTGACTCATAGTGCAATGATGCTTTAATTACCCAATGTGAGCCCTAAATTTATGGAATCCAAATTTATTGACTTTGTAGCACACACTTAGCACAACCCCCCCCACAAATGTTTAACTTCCTTTGGTTCACTCTAAAAGGAGCAACTGTCACTCCTAAGTGAAGAATTAATTTTGGAGTCAAAGATTTTTATGACATACTTCAAAACACTGACTTTTCCTTGACTGATTATTGTTTATGTTAATTCAAATTTTAATGATGTTAATATGGATAAAAATTGTAACAAGTATTTTATCTATAATCTGTGGTCCTTTACATGTCAGGGTTTGCGTTTTGAGGTCGTACCATCTTGGTTTAAAGAAACCCTCAATAAGGAACTTTTTAAAGAGCCTCATGAGTATGCTGTGGAGACAGCCAGGCAGAAAGCCCTGGAGGTGGCTCGGAGAATGCCCTTTGTAAGTATGACTACTTCTATGTATAACAAACAGAATTATACAAGCTGAATGATATTTAATAATAACTTTTGACCTGATTTGCTTTAGAAACATCTGAAAACTCCAGACATGGTAATTGGAGCAGACACAATTGTGGTAAGTTAAAGAAAGGATGACAGAACTTGCTCTTTGTCTGCTGTACAGTAGTTTTCATTGGTTTTAATTTCCACAGACCATAGATGGAATGATTCTGGAGAAGCCGGTGGACAAACACGATGCATACAGGATGCTGTCATGGTACGTATGATTTGCATGTTTTTAGATCTCACATGGGAATACAAAGACTTATAAGAATATTTTTATGTTCTTCTTAACCGTCTTTACTCTCCTACTCTTTTTCAGCCTGAGTGGTAAAGAGCACAGTGTCTTTACTGGTGTTGCTGTTGTCCTTTGTCATGAGAAAGAAAGTAAGCTTAACCTGCTTCCTTCAATTTTTGGTGAAATGTACGTTTTTTAAAGTGAGACGTCATTTTTAGGACGTTTTACCAAAACTGTTCCGAGGAGAAAGCTCAAAGTGTGTATCTTATAATAGTTTCTTCATGCTGATCATCAATCATGCTGATTCATCTTGGTCAAATTTTGTGCTTCCATTAAAAAAACACTTTTCTTTTTACTTCCCTGACCTCGCAGACGAAGAAGTGGATTACCAGTTGATAGACTTCTATGAAGAAACAAAGGTGAAGTTTGCTGATCTCTCAGAAGATATGCTGTGGGAGTACATCAATAGCGGTGAACCCATGTAAGTAAGAAAAACGTGAACTTTGAGATTCACTTTGTAATAGCTATTGATCCCTCTTTGCGCAGTAACTTGGATAGAGCAGTCGATCGATACAAAACGTTTAACTGTTAGCTTTGTGAACCTGTTGCTTTATGGACTTTGACACCTGACATTTGCCTTGTTCTGTTTGGCATGGTTCGTGATAAATTTAGACTCAGGTCAGCATAAGTACGTTTGAAACATAAATTACAAATCCAAACCTTGTAACATTTTATGAATCTGAGTTTATGTGCGGCTGTGACAAAAAATGTGGAGAGATGAACTTGTCTGTGTGTTTCAGGGACAAGGCTGGTGGTTATGGTATTCAAGCGCTTGGTGGCATGCTGGTAGAGTACGTTCATGGAGACTTCCTAAATGTTGTGGGTTTCCCCCTCAACCACTTCTGCAAACAGCTTGATGTTATTTACAACCACCGTTTTTTGTTCGCCAACGACACAAGTGAGTCTGTCCGCCTGATTCCCAACGGTGGTCCCTCTTCACCAGAACTAACTCAGAAAACACCAAACTCCAATGAAGACAAATCTAATCTCATGCTCAGCAGTCCCACTGCCAGTCCAGCTCATAAGGTTTGTTCATTGTACCCTCTGAAACACATTTGTCTCTCTTGGCATTTGTTTACCCCGAACCATCATCTCTTCCAGGTAAAAAGGAAAGATGGTAAAAGTTTAGCGAGTGAGAAATCCTGGACGTTGGTCGACGGCTTGTCTAAATGCAATGATGGAGAGACCAAACTTCATGACACTGAAAATAAACCATCAAGATTGATAACAAGCAGAAAAGAAGGAATTAAGCCTGAAGTGGCAGGAGATGTTGACAGTGAACCTAACAAAGATTTGCAGCTGCTGTATGAACTTATGGATGGATTCAAAGCATCAAAGGTAGTTTTTGTTTCTGTGAGGAACTTTTACAGCAAAACGTTTTAAATTTTTTTTTTACTGAACTTCTGCAGAACAAGATTGAATTAAAAACAAAATGTATTTGATTCATTTGTGCACACACTGTACGGTGTAAGATACAGTGCCTTGCAAAAGTATTCGGCCCCCTTGAACTTTTCAACCTTTTGCCACATTTCAGGCTTCAAACATAAAGATATAAAATTTTAATTGTTTGTGAAGAATCAATAACAAGTGGGACACAATCATGAAGTGGAATGAATTTTTTTGGATGTGTCAAACTTTTTTAACAAATAAAAAAACTGAAAAGTGGGGCGTGCAATATTATTTGGCCCCTTTACTTTCAGTGCAGCAAACTCACTCCAGAAGTTCAGTGAGGATCTATGAATGATCCAATGTTGTTCCAAATGACTGATAATGATAAATAGAATCCACCTGTGTGTAATCAAGTCTCCGTATAAATGCACCTGCTCTGTGATGGTCTCGGGGATCTGTTCAAAGAGCAGAGAGCATCACGAAGACCAAGGAACACACCAGGCAGGTCCGAGATACTGTTGTGGAGAAGTTTAAAGCCGGATTTGGATACAAAAAGATTTCCCAAGCTTTAAACATCCCAAGGAGCACTGTGCAAGCAATCATATTGAAATGGAAGGAGTATCAGACCACTGCAAATCTACCAAGACCTGGCCATCCCTCTAAACTAATAAAATCATAATATTATCAGAACTCTGACACAAACAAGCAGTCTTGCATCTGCAGTAAAATGATGAATGTTGACGTTGGCTGTGCAATAGCAGGAGGCTCAGCGAACTGTAGCATATAGATCCTTATGACAAACTGAAGCCGTATGGAATTGTAATTAATGGCTACATTGACGGATTTAATCGACACATAACGTGGATAGAGGCATATTTCACAAACAGTGACACAAAAGTGATCACGGACTATTTCATAAACACAGTGATTGGAAGCTGTCCACAGCAGGTGCAATTCGACCCAGGATGTATTGCAAGTCTATTCTCGTAATACAATGACTTTATTCTCATAATATTACAACTTAATTCGCATAATACTACAACTTTATTCTTGTAATTTTATTGTTTTTTTTGGCAATGTGTTTTTTTTTTTCCTTAGAGTGGCCTTAATACTCAATTGTAGTTAATAACTGGAAACTGAATCTAAAAAAGTTAAATCTGGTCCTCTGGACATTCAAAAAAACAAAACAAAGCAAAACAACTAAAAAAATGTAGAAACATTTCGTCTTTCATCTGAAAGACTTCCTCAGTCTGAGGTGCTGTATTCAGCTCAGTCTTATAAATAGCACCTTCTCAGAGTGGAAACTAACAACGTGCCTAGATCAGACCACACTTCAGTATGTGATGGACTGTACAGATCAGGCACGCTTAGCACAGCATGTCAAGTCCAAGACTCGACAACAAAACAAGTTTAACTTACTAATAACTCCTAAACACCATCACTATTCCAATAACAACGCATTCAGTGTAAGACAACACTCCAGTAGACAATTACATGCCAGGGAGACAGAAAAGTGGGTGAAGAATTTTTCTGACAGACCGCTCACCCAGCCAGAAACAGAGATTCTTGCCAGGGGACTGAACTTTGCGGTTGCACCAAGTAGAATTCCTCTAGTGGAGATGGTCACAGCCACAGAATTAGCCATCCGCAACAACAACATTAAAAAGTGTGAAGCAGAACAACTCAGAATCAAAGTTTCAGCCTGCCTCAGCAATGCCAAACCACCACCTTCCAACATCACTAGAGAGGAGAGGGATGCACTCACCACTCTTAGCAAGGACAAAAACATATTTATTTTTCCAGCAGACAAAGGAAGGTGCACAGTGATTTTGAACCAGAAAGACTTATCATGATAAATTTATGACACTCCTTAGTGACTTAACCACTTATGAACCTCTGAAAAGAGATCCAGGAAGTGGTTACAAGAAGAAGTTGATAGATTGCTTGAAAATTTTGGAACAGGACAAGGGTATTGACCGTATTCTGTACCACAGACTGTACTCAGGGGAGGCCACACCTAGTCTGTATGGTTTACCTAAAATCCACAAAGAAGGTGTACCTTTAAGACCAATTGTTAGCATGATTAACTCTGTCACTTACAATGTTTCCAAATATCTGGCATCTGTACTCATCCTTTTAGTTGGCAGCTCAGAACACCACATACAGAACACCATGGACTTTGTGGATAAGGTGAGGGATGTCATCATGGAGACTGATGAAACAATGGTCTCTTTTGATGTCACATCACTCTTTACGTGCATTCCTGTTGATGATGCAGTAGAGGTGGTCAATTTAAGATTAAAATCAGACACCACTCTGAGCAGCAGGACCACATTTTCCACAGAACAACTGTGTCAACTCTAGAAACTGCCTGCCGTCAACCTACTTCACATATGGGGAGCAATATTATAGGCAGAAACATGGGTGTGCTTTGGGGTCTCCAATTTTTCCTATTGTGGCCAACCTGTACATGGAGTAGGTAGAAAAGAGAGCCTTGACGTCCTTTTCAGGGACACCACCAAGTCATTGGTTCAGGTATGTTGATGACACCTGGGTTAAAATTTAATCCCAGGAAGTCCAACATTTTACTGACCACATCAACTCTGTGGATAAAAACATCAAGTTCACACGAGAAGATGTAAAAAATGGCAAGTTGGCTTTCTTGGACTGTGAGGTCTCAGTTTCTGATAGAGGACATTTGCAAACTGAGGTGTACCGCAAACCCACACACACAGACCAGTATTTGCAGTTTGACTCCCATCACCCTTTGGAGCACAAGTTAGGAGTCATCAGGACTCTGTACCACAGAGCAGACAGCATCCCCACTAACTCAGGAGCCAGGCAGAAGGAGACATCTCACACAAGACAGGCTCTAGAGCAATGTGGATATCCTAACTGGGCCTTCCTGAAAGCAGAGAAGAAGCCCAAACAGGACTCCAGTCAGCCATCAGGTGAAAAGGAGGAACCCAGACCCAGACCAGTGGTCATTCCGTATGTTGAGGGAGTATCAGAGAAACTGAGACGTTTATTTTCTAAACACAACGTCCCATTGGCTTTTAAACCCCAAAATACATTACGGCAAAGACTGGTTCATCCCAAAGATCCAGTCCCTCGGCACAAACAGAGTAATATTGTGTATGCTGTTCAGTGTCGAGGGTTGTGATCAGTCTTGCATCGGGGAAACTAAACAGCCACTGGCCAAAAGGATGGCCCAGCACAGAAGAGCAACATCATCAGGCCAGGACCCTGCAGTCTACACTCATCTCCAGGCCAGTGGTCACTCTTTCAGGGATGAAGATGTTCACATCCTGGATAGAGAAGAACGATGGTTTGAGAGAGGAGTAAAGGAGGCCATCTTTGTGAAAAGAAATCGTCCATCATTAAACAGGAGTGGAGGCCTCTGGTTTCAACTGTCCCCCTCTTGCAATGGTGTTACAATGATGCTAGTATCACTCAGCCCTCTGTGAATAGTAAACATCCATCATTGTGCTAATGATCCATTGTTAGGCTGATGGTCCTTCTTGACCATGTGAGCAGCTGGTTGTAGTTGTCAGCAGCAAAACTGGTTGATCCACTCTGAGAAAGTGCTATTTATAAGACTGAGCTGAATACAGCACCTCAGAATGAGGAAGTCTTTCGGATGGAAGACGAAACGTTTCTACATTTTTTTGTTGTTTTGCTTTTTGTTTTTTTGAATGTCCAGAGGACCAGATTTAACTTTTTTAGATTTTTCTACCTGGATTATTGAGCATGCATCAGGATGGAAACTATGAAGTTATTTTTATTTTATGTTTTACTTTTATTGAAAAGAAATATATGCAGCTGATGAAAGAAGTTTCTTTTTGTATCCGTTTTCTGCTTGAATTATAATTTTGCTTTTGCAATCCAAAACTCCATAGAAATTTGATAAATTCTCACATATTTGCAAGCTACTTGAGTGTGGTAATTAGTAACACTAAGAGGTCTTCTCCTTTATTAATTTGGAATAAAAAAGTGAGAACTAACTATTTGATTTGATCTTTAAAATATAAGCTGTTAATTGTTTCCTCAATAGCATATCTGACATGTAAGTCTTTTCAAATTGTATTTTTTTGTTCCTAAACATCAATATTTTATCCATTATCATTGTAATGATGTTCAGTTAAACCTCTCTTGAGTGTGGCGTTCGTCATTTTCATAAAAGTAGTAAAACAAGAAGGTAACTATCCATTCTCATGTTTGTTTGTTTATTTAAAACATAGCAGGCACTTTCTTTACGTACATGGCACTCCATGATGACTAAATCTTTCTGCCCTTCTAAAAATGTCGCAGGCCCTCTTTACAGCATCCAAGCTGTGTGTGTTTGACCTGCTGCACAGTAAACCAGGGCTAGATGCGGAGCAGGTGGCCCAGAAGATCAACATTTCTGTGAAAGGGGCAGAGTGCCTGCTGGAGGCCTGTGTGCCTCTGGGACTGTTGAAGACCAAAAAGAGAAGTTAGTCAACTCTCTGCTCAGCTCATAAACATGTTTTATATTTAAATTTAAAATATTTTCTCCTGTTGTCTTCCGCAGCATGTTCAAAGCCTGTGTATGAGAACACAGATCTGGCCACGGTGTATTTGCGCTCAGATGCTTGTCTTTCTCTGCACGGATACATTCAGCACTGCAACGACACACTGTGGCCTCTTTTCTCACACCTGGAGCGTGCTGTTAAGGAGGGAGCTTGTCAGCGTGACAAAGTCAAGGAATCTAAGGATGAATGCCAGGTGATCATATAGTTGAGCATGAGATTTATACACTCCAGAGAAGATCTTGGAAGAGATTACCTGATGTTTTGTCTCTGTTTTGAAGGACACTGTAAGTAACAGTCAAGATGACAAGCTGAAGTTCATGAAGGCCATGCACAGCTCTGCTAAAGTCGCAGCTAAGGCCATAGCAAAGGCCTTTGACCTCTCCAGCTACAAAAAAGCCTGTGACCTCGGAGGTAACAATACTAACGATCACACTTTAGTTTTCTGTCAGTCATGGGTTTTTACATGGTCGTTTTGCTCTTCCAGGATGCACGGGTGTCATGGCCTATGAGTTTATTAAAGCCCATCCTGAACTGTCAGTGACTGTGTTTGATCTGCCTGCTGTTGTGGACATGACTGAATATTTCCATCCGCAAAGCACAGACAGCAGGGTGTCTTTTAAAACTGGTCAGTTTTTATTTAACTGCTCTGATTATTAATCTTTAATCAGTTTTATTAATCTGTCACTCTGTGATCATTATATGGAAGATTTTTTGCGTTTTTAAAACAGGAGACTTTTTTAAAGATGAGTTGCCGAAAGCAGACTTGTACATCCTTGTGAGGATCCTTCACGATTTGACTGATGAGAAGCTGCACGTTCTGCTGAGCAAAACTGCAGCTGCTTGCACTCCAGGTAAAGATCCTTAAGCTCTTTGTCCCTTTCGCTAAAATAATTAAAATGAAAGCTGAAGTAACTAGAGAAATTGCATTTCCTGCGAAAATTCACTGTGAATGCTTATTACAGAAGAATTTGCTGAAAAACAGCTGAAATTAGCAACAACAACAACAAAATGCTGAAATGTAGCTGAAATGGAAGAACAGGCCTAAATTAGCAGAAGAAAGCAGAAAAAACACATATTTGCTGAAAATTTAGCTAAAATAGTGGAAAATTTGCTGAAAAGGCAAAAGAAGATTAATCTACAAGAAAAAAGTGGCAAGAGCTGAAATGAGCTAAAAATGTGGAACTAGCTGAAAAAGCTAAAATTAGCATCAAAATTGCTAAATAGTATCTGAAAGAGCAGAAAAAGCTGAAAGGAGCATAGCAAGCTGAAATTAGTATAAAGAAGTTAATTAGGTTGAAAGTAGCAAAAATTACCACAAAAAGCTTGAATTTTGTGGTAATTCAAGCTTACCACAAAATAAGCTTTGTGGTAAGCTTATTATACATTTATATATTGATGTATACATTATCAATCAACCTTTATTTATACAGGTAAATCCCATTGAGCCTCGAGGACTCATTTACAAGAGAGACCTGATTTCAACAAAGAAAGATGACAACAATGTACAACAGCAACAACAATAGCAACAATTATATTATGTATACATTTTGTAGCTAAGTTAAGTCTCCTGCTTAACTTAGCTACAAAATGCTAAAAACTTAGCTGAAAATTTAGAACAAGCTTAAAGTAGCAAAAGAAAGCAGAAATAACATGTTTGCCTAATTAATCTGAAAGAAGCAGAAATGAGCACAAAAGTGAAAATTATCTGAAAAAAATCTGAAATTAGCACACACAACAAAACAGCTAAAAAGTAGCTAAAGCAGCAAAAAGAAGCTTAGTTACCAGAAGGAAGTGTAGAGAGCATATGTTTACTGAATTAGACTGAAAAGGTTGAAATTACTGCAAAAATTGTAGCCGACAAAGCTAAAATTAGCATAAAACAGCTAAATACTAGCTGAAATAGCAGAAAAAGCTGAAACTTGCATAAATAAGCTAAAAGGAGTATAACAAGATGCAATTAGCAGAAAGAATGTAAAAAAAAAAAAAAGCAACAAAAAAAACAGCTGAAAAAACAGCTGAAGTTAAAAGTAGCTTGAAAAAAGTTTAAATTTTCACAAGGAAGCTGAAAGAAGCTGAAGCAGAACAAAATGTGAAAGGAGCAGTAAAAGGCTGTAACCAGATCTAAAGATTTGAAGGATGGAAAATTAGCTCAATTCATTTTCTATGAGAAAAAAAATGGCAGAAAAGGCAAAATATTTCCAAAAAAGCAGCTGAACATTTTTGATTTGCGATTTGTTGAAATGACACAAAAATTGTGGAATGAGAACAATGCTGAAAAATGTACAGAAGAAAAATAATTAAATTTAATTCAATTCAGTTTATTTATATAGCGCCAAATCACAACAAAGTTGTCTCAGGGCACTTTACAGGAACATTCACATGCATAAAAGGCAATTAGAAAAGTTCTCCATCTAAGGAATCCAGCAGACAAGTTGAATCTTGGCTTCGTTGCAGTCTCCCATCCTTAGCAAGCACAGTGGCAACAGTGGAAAGGAAAAGCTCCCTTTTTTAATTCACAATCTTTTTTTATTGAATTTTTCATTTTTTCCAAAAACAAAAACATTAAATAGCAAAGATGGTAATGAAGCATTTTCATGTAACCATTAATGAAGACATTAGTAGACTGAGTCAGTCTGAATTGCATCATCTACATTATAATCCACACCAAAGAAAAGAAAATAATCCCTCCCCAATCACTGCCAAAAGGAAAGGGAAAAAAATAAATAAAAAGTAAAATAGCAAAGAGACTGCATTACCCTGAATGAGTTGTGTTGTCAAAGAGACTGGAATTCAGGAAAGGTCCCCAAACTTTCTCAAATTTATCCTCTTTCTGTTGGAGTGTGAATCTGATTTTCTCCAGCTTTAAACAGGACATGATGTCAGCCAACCACTGAGCGTGAGTGGGTGGAGATGGTTCTTTCCACCTAAGCAAAATGGCTCGTCTGGCCAGGAGAGAGGTGAACGATATTACGTGCTGTTGGTTTTTATTTAGATTTATCATGCCCTCTACAAGACCAAACAGAGCAATCAGTGGGTCAGGGTTCAGACATGTATCTAGTACACGTGATAAAGTCTGAAAGATTTCCTGCCAGTATTTGTTCAGAGATGAGCAAACCCAAAACATATGGGAGAGAGAGGCTTCAGCATGTTTGCATCTCACACAGTACGGGCTAGCATCATGATACATAGAGGACACTTTCAGTTTAGAGATGTGAGCTCTGTGCACCACTTTAAATTGTATTAGTCAATGTCTAGCACAGAGAGAACTGGAGCTCACCAGTCTGAGTATGGAGGTCCAGGAGTCCTCTGAAATAGAGGAGCCAAGATCCTCTTCCCAAGCAGCTTTGATTTTATCTGAGGAAACACACTTCAAATCCAATAGTCTACTATAAATTAATGGAATAGAATGTTTTTTATTTGGGTCTAGAGAAAGAATAGTGTCAACAATACTGATAATCTGTTGAAATGGAGAGGCTGGGCAAATGAAGAGTAATAAAGTGCCGTATTTGGAGATACCTAAAAAAATGACTGGGGAAGGCTAAATTTTTCACATAGTTGCTGAAATGAAGCTAGCATGTTATTAAGGAATAAGTCATTGAAGCGTACTATACCCCTTCTCTGCCATTCTTTAAAAACAGAGTCCTGAGATGAGGGTTTGAAGAGTTGGTTAGACATGATAGGACTATAGAGAGAGAAACTAGAGAAATCAAAACATCTACGAAATTGTGCCCAGATTTTTAGTGAGCGTTTTATAACTGGGTTTATAACAGTTGTAAGTGGTGGAAGCGGGAATGAGGATCCCAAGAAAGTCAGGGTGGACCATTTCCCAGAACACTGTGACTCCATCGTTACCCAGTCAGGGCAGTCAGGCCTGTTGTAATAGAATGACCAGAATGTTAGACAGTGCAAGTTTGCTGCCCAATAATAAAAGTGGAAATTTGGAAGGGCAAGACCACCTGCAGCCTTGGTTTTTTGGAGATATGTCTTATTTAAGCGTGGACGTTTTCCCTGCCACAGATATGATGAAATTATGGAATCTAACTGCACAAAGAATGAACCAGGGATAAAACAGGAATAGTTTGAAAGAGATACAAAAACTTAGGTAAAGTGACCATCTTGACTGAGTTAATACGGCCTATGAGGGATGTGGAAAGCGGTGACCACCAGGATAATGCCTGCTTTGTCTGATTCAACAAAGAGACAAAATTTTCTTGATATAAATCTTTATACCTCCTCGTAACTGTAACACCCAGATAAGAGAATTTTATCTTCTCAATTTTAAAATGCCATTTACTGAAGTCAAGGGTCTGCACCAGGGTATTAAAAGGGAAAATTTCACTTTTACTTAGGTTTAATTTGTAGCCAGAATTTATTCCAAATTCCTTAAGCAATGATAGAACGGAAGGCAATGTGTCATTCGGATGAGAGATGAAAAGTAAAAGATCATCAGCATAAAGGGAGACTTTGTGCTCCATATCACCTCTCCGGATTCCTGAAATTGTGTCACAGGACTGCAAAGCAGTGGCAAGAGGTTCACTTGCCAGGTCAAAGAGCAGAGGGCTCAGTGGGCATCCCTGACGAGTTCCTCGATGTAGGAATGGTTTCAATATCTGAGAGTTGGTGCGAATGGTTCCAGTGGGATGTGAATAAATTAATTGCACCCATGTAATGAAATTGCGGCCAAAACCCAATTTGTCAAGAACATTAAACAAGTAGTCCCATTCAACCCGATCAAATGCTTTCTCCGCATCAAGGGAGATAGCATTATACTCAGGGACAGTATCCGAAGGAGAATAAATAATGTCCAAAAGGCGCCTCATATTAAAAAAGGAATGCCTGCCTTTAATGAATCCAGTCTGATCTTTTGATATGATGAAAGGAAGGATCTTTTCCAACCTTTGAGCAAGAACTTTGGCTAAAATTTTGGCATCTGTATTTAAAAGGGAGATTGGTCGATAAGAGGAACAATGAGTTGGATCTTTTCCTTTCTTTGCAATGAGGGTAATGCAGGCCTCTTAAGAAAGATTTTGGAAGGGATCCTTGGTCAAACGACTAGGAGTGGGGAGAGTAAAGGAGAAAATTTCTTAAAAAATTCAGCAGGGAAGCCGTCAGGGCCCGGACATTTGCCAGACTGCATTACCGATACAGCTGACACAATTTCTGTCAGGGATATTGGGATCTCCAGTGCATCTTTCAGGTTAGGTGTGAGTTTTGGCATATTGGTCTTTTTCGAAAAAGTGAGAAGATAAATTCTTGTTGGTTTGGGATTCTGAAGTATATAAATGGGAATAAAAGTCCTTAAATGCTCTGTTAATTTGTAAATGATCAAGAGTTATGGTGCCATTCTTTAATTGGATCTTAGAGATGATTTGTTTAGCCATGGCACCCTTCAACTGATTTGCCAGTAGTTTTCCTGACTTTTCTCCATGTATGTAAAATGTTGATTTACTTTTCAAAAGTGATTGTTCTATTGAGTGAGCTTCTTTTCAGCCTGGTTGAGAACTGCTGCTGTTAGTTTTCAATATAAACTTATATAAAATCTGGAAAAGGTTTGTAAAATATAAAGCATCTCTACAAAAAAGCTGAAAAGTTCACAGCCAAGCCAAAATACCTAATTGCTTACACATTACTGTGCTCTTTGCCTGAAGCAGTGTAATGTAAAGAGACAAGTGAGTACAAAAACAACCACTGATCACAAAAGACATGTTTGCATGTACTTTATTCTGCCAGGCGGCGGCCTCCTGCTGGCTGAGATCCTTCTGGAGGAAGACAGAAGCGGTCCGAGGTGCGGCCTGCTGCAGGCGCTCAGCATGAGCGAGGGGAAACAGCGAAGTGCAGCAGAGTACAGTGAGCTTTTGAAGAACTATGGTTTTCTCACAACGCATGTCAAACACACAAACAGCCTCCTGGGTGTGATGCTTTGCAGAAAAGCATGAAGACCTGCACTCTTACCTACAAACAACTGAAGGTCTTGTTTTGTAAATTCTACCAAAAAGAAACACAACATTTAAGATCTTTTTTTTTAAGTTATGTTTTATTAGATTTTTTTTTTTTTGAGTGTCTTTCTCTAAAGGCACAACATTTAGTTTGAGCAGTTTTAGTTTTAGAACTGAGGACATTAAAAACTGCTGAAGGAACACCCTACTCTGTTTTATAGCCTCAGATTATGACGGATTACAGCGGTATGCCCTCTGGTGATGTTTGCTTGTTTTCAATGTGTTGAATGCTTACCTTCAAGGTTTTTATTCTTTGGTCTTTACTCGTCTGTACTGTCTGCCTCAGATTAAGAAAAGATGTTTTTGTTTTTAACAAAAAGATCTGTGGTTTAACTCAGGAATAAAAGTTTCATAACCACCGATATCCACAAATGCTTTGAGTTTTCCAGAATTATTTGTCTGTTATTCAAAAGACTGGCAGGCTGATTGGAGAGGACTGAACAGTTTTTACCTGTTGTCCAGGTGAGTCAGAAGAACCAGTCTCACCAAAACCTTCATGTCAGGGCAACTGGTCTGAAGCAACTGAGGCCAAATGGGGTGGGTTTCTTGGGCACCAGTACAGAGCAGGATGTTTTCCAAAGCACTGCTGCAGACTCAAACTGAAGATGTGCTGCAGGATCTTTGACTGCTGAGGATTGTGGGACTTCAGGTCAGTTCTCTGTCTTGACTGTCCTGCAGCTGCTCATGTTCCCTGCACACATCTTTGATGATGTTTTTAAAGTTTTACTTACGGTTTTCTACGCCTCCTGAGCCCAACAGTCTTATCCTTGACTCATCCTTGTTGCATGACCTGAAGGCCCTCTTTTTTTATTCAAAAGGAGCTTCAGGTGACTGTTGAGCTGCTTGTTGTTGGGGAAAACAGCAAATATCTTGTTTCACATTTAAATGCAAATATTCCTTTTTTTTTCCTCAGTAAATAAAACATGCTGTGCTTTGTATTTGTGCATCTTCTAGAGCATCACAAATATTACGAATGTTTTGTGAAATCCATCACAATGAACCTTGTTTATCACCAGCTACATTATTGTCTACAATAATTATTATTCATGTTGATTTTTATATATACAGACACACAGAGTTGTATTTATTTCAAGAAAATCTTGTTTGTTAGGACAGTTTAGGCATCATCAATGAACTGCACAAAAACAAACCTTTAATAAGTTTCAAGTGTGCAGTGTTTTTTTTTCCTGATTGATTATCAGCAATAAATAAACCCTATTGAACCAAGTTTTTCAAAGATTCACACAGTTTCCACCTTTAATGCGACACTAACAATGCAATTTTCAAACTTCATCCAGATCCAAGGCTCACGTCAAAGTAAACACAACTTTCCTTTATAATATAACTATGCAAAACTTGTGGCATTGTGCTAAACTGCACATTTTTAAAGTGGCCTTTTATTGTGGTCAGCCTAAGACACATGTAATAATCCTGCTGTCAATTCAGCATATTTGATATGCCAAACCTGTGAGGTGGAGGGATCATAAGTGCTCACTAACACAGATTTACACAAATTTGTGAACCATATTTGAGAGAATAAAGCCTGTTGTGTACGTAGGAAAAGTCTTAGCTCTTTGAGTTCAGCTCATGAAAAATGAAAGCAAAAACAAAAGTGTTGCGTTTTATGTTTTTGCTCAGTACAGTTGCTCAGTGCATATTTTAAATCGGTCTATCTGGGGTTGTTCAGTAATGTGGTTGTAACCCAGACATTAGTCACTTGTCACAGTTTAGAGAAATAGTTTATTGTGACCTAATTGACAAGCTAACGCTTGCCCAAGCAGGAGCTAAAGGGAATTGCTACCATGTTAAACAACTTCCATCACAGACGTTATTCTGGCATTCATATGAATGGTATTAAAGATTGGCTATAGTTTTACACCGTATGCCCTTCCTCTGGGCTTGAACCTGCAGCCTCAAGATTACGACTGCCAGAAGGGTGGCCAGTTTGATGCTTACCACTCCTGGAACCTAACTGGCCACCCTAGGTGTTGCCCCGGTTGATTGATTATTCACCGCATGTGACGATAAAAGATGCACAATTAGCCTATTGGTTTGTACATTCTTTCTGAAAAGACTCAAATATTTTAAAACATGATTTACATTTTTGTTTAAATAAAGTCTCCAGTGTTTCACTCACAGATCTCTTGTTTGCTGGCGTTTACTGAAAATATTTCTGAGTCGTATTTTGATGCTTTGACAATGACTACAATTGTATGTGAGAGAGTGTGATTTATGGGTATGGATTATGGAAACTGTCTGGAAGCCATGTTCCTAAGGAACCAGGGTCGACTACCAGGATTCCTATTGTATATATACGTTTGTTTTTTTTTTTTTCACGCACTTCATTGGAAAAGCCTTGATCACCCTTGTGCCAGCTCTGGCTCTGACCACAGAGCTACCACAGGCTCTGTTGAAGCTGAAGTACAGTGTAAAGCTCTTGCTATGTCGTAATGTTTCCTCAAGATGGCATCAAAAACTTGCACATTTCACTTCAAAAAAGGGTAGTGAAATATTGGTGATCCCTGTTAATAAATTCTGTATAGTACGTTACAAAAGAATATAATGTGTCAAAAAACTCGAACATTGTGCTGATGCTACCAGGTGTTGGAAATTAATGTATTCTTTATGCATTTTGTGGCATATTTGTAGGAGCAGAAAACACTTAAATTCGAGATACATGTTTAGATACATTTTTGGCGGTGAAATGGCTGCAGGGAAAGTGGGGAACATCGCTGGCTTTGATAAACAGCATGTATACGATGACTCTTCACTTTGGATCCCTCTCAAGTATTATCTTAGGAGGGTTTTAAGGGTGGTCAGTGTTATTCATGGCTATTTTCTTGTCATCCTCTGTTCGGTCTTTGAGACACCTAACTGATTTTCTTTTCTCAGATTGTTTTTGTGTGAATTGGGAGAGACAGGAAAAGAGCTGGACTAAAGTTCAAACATGACACCAATGCAAACCAATGACGTTTGTGTCATTGACAGCGCCAACAAGATCCATCAGAAAGTTACTTTTTTTTCCCTTTGACCACAACTTTGTGAAACCTAAGACACGATTGAATAAATTCAGAAATTTTGTTGCTGTCCTAATGAGATCTCTTAAAGACATCTGGGTAAATTACCTCAAATGTTTGTGGGAAAATGTCAGGAGTGTGGAATACTGATGAGCGTTACAAATCAAAGCAAACCCTGAAAGACATGAAGCACTTCCAAGAATAGGATTTGTATATCTGTCCACGCTTGAGTGTCCCAGCTGCACCCGATCACCCTTTATTGCCTCTACTTTTGTGTACTGCAAACACTAGCTGCACTTTCTAATGAAAACCATTCAAGTCAATCAAGTTTACCAGAGACCAAAGGCCAGCGTAATTTGGGAAAATTGCTGAAACTCCAAAGTAATCTTCTGTAATGTGATCTTGCGTATTGAACACTGGCCGTTCTCTACGTGTCGGATAAGAGCTCAGTCATTTTCTTCAAATACAATCTTGACAAGCAGCATGGATTTCCACCTGCAAATAATCATCATTCTAGTGTTAAGGGCTTTGATATTGAAATGAATGATTTAAGACCATTTGCTGCTAGCAGATAGGGATTTAAAACACTTCCACATGTTGATATTGAGGATAAGATGTGTTTGTGAACTGGGCTGCGTGTTGTCTTTACTGTTGCCAGTGAAACACATTATGGGCATGTTTCACTTTTTGAAGTATCACAGTTAAGAAACATTACATTGATTAAAAATTCTGTTAACAAGGACCAAGTTTCATAATATTTTATTAAATAGAATCAAAATAAATTTCATGCAACTTGAAAAGAAACCACTAGGGGGCAACATTGGCTAAAAAAAACATGCAAATTATACTGATCTAAATTGTTCAGACCTTTGTATTCAAAAAACGTTCAATACAAAAACAACTGGACTTTATTTGTAACAGAAGACGTTTCGCTCCTCATCCGCCGATGTGAACGTTTTTTGAATTCATCATGTCCTGGATGACTGAGAATCTTCACCAGCATTCAGACCTTTGTGAAATTTTTGACATTTGCTAATAGCTATCTTAGACTTTTTTTAGTATCTCTAATGAAAAGTAAATACTTTTATTAGGGCTGTCTCAATACTGGTTTTGTTTAGATGGAGTACAAATACTTCAGTTTGGGTACTTATCAGGTCTCTTGTAAATGCGTTCTCGAGGCTCAGTGGGATTAACCTGTCTAAATAAAGGTTGAATGAAACTTGCTGATACAGAGTAGTTAATGTTAGTACTTAAACATTACACAATGACTTTAAAATACAGCAAACAGTCAGCTTTTAACATCACCTGTATTTATCATTACTATATATTTATCTGTACTCTACAGGTCTCTTTTGAAAATGAGTCCTCATGACTCAATGAGACTACCTGAATAAGTAAAGGTTAAATAAAAATAATCTTGAAATATGTCTAAATTATGGTCTTTTTGTTTTTGTCCATCCAAAGTATAAGTACAAGTACTTTAGGCTGGTATTTGGCCCGCCACCAGCTTTGATGTTGAAAATCTCGGGACAGATCTAAAGAATCCAAACGCTTGCATGCAGAACAACAAACATTGTCTAATCAGTATGTTTTCTGAATTCGCACTCAAAACTGAGCTCGTGCTCGGGCACCTGTTTCAAAGAGCGGCATTGTTTCTCTCCGTCCTCCTCTGTCAACAAGCAGAAGACATGCAGTGATGGCTGGCTTCTCAGCACACATCTGATTTCAGTAAATGTGCAGTTGTTCAAAGTGAGCTGTGCTTCATTGATTTGTTTCAAGGCAGATAAAAAAATAACCTGAGGGCTTCTACCAGTTTGAAATAACAATAGAGTCCTTTTCTGCTGTTTGGACTGACATCTGTGGTACAATGAAGAGGTTTATAGTTTGGAATTTATTACTTGTATAGAAACTGTGTATCAGTAT